GCACATTCTTACCGTTTTGGTCTTTAAATATTTAAACTTTCAACATGGAATGAACTTTGCAGAAAAATCTCTGTATTCTGTCGGTGGAGTTTTCAGCATCCTCTTAAGGAGGAAACTTAACGATCGATATCACGATAAAATTGCCCTAACGGCCCTGATTATTCGCGTAATCACCATCGTCTGCTGCCGACAGCTGAGACGGGAGAAATTGCGCGACAAATATTATCCCGCGACGAACAAGAGGAGTCTTTCAAAGTGTCACCGAGTTCCGGCACGAGCACCGGTATAAATTGCGCACAATTAGCTGGTTAACTGCCAATTAGCAAAGGGTGCTTGTATCTGTAGCACTTGGAGGAGCGCTTCGCCGCGGCGCCACCGTCGGAAACAATATTTGTCTTTGATTACCTTAGAAGTGTTTGCGCAACGGAGTAAATAATACCGATCGCGGCGTCGAAGGTGCGCGCCCGCTCTATCGATTACACTGCACGACTGCGCCGGAAAAGACGCCGTACTCTTCGCCGTACTCCCCCGTCCCGCCGCCGGCGCTAATTACCGAATTACCACTCGAATTAAGCCCCATTACGTATGATTGGCCCACTTATCGAACCGGCGCCGCGACAACGCAGCCCATTACGTTTCCGACTTAATTCGCGAGACGAAGGTCGACTCGCCGGCTGGAATTAGCGGCCGATCGAACGAGTGCTGACTTATTCATTTCTTGGGATCTTCGTCCATTTATTTGACAATTAAACGTTACCAACAGAGGGATTTATGTAATTTAAGGTATAACGAGCGAATTACTTTAGACGACATCAGCACGAGCCGTCAGTCGTGCCGTCGTCTGTGAAACAAAGTTCCGTGTAGATTTTGGTACTGATTCATGCAGAAATTTTGGCGAATTCCTGAAGCCGCACTCAATTGATGCGAAAGTAGCGCGTGCACAGAGAAAATACAATAATTTTTTTTTTATATTTTCTTCCTAATTTTTTATAATTCTTCCTAATTTTATTATGTTTTTAGTAGTCCAGGGATAGACTGTCACTAAGGCTATCTTGCTAAAGAACAAATTTCGCTGGAAACACAACAAGTGTTTCAATAGTACATATCAGTTGCTAAAATACGAGTAGCACATGTGAAACGAAAGGACAGTGGATTGTTGCAGAATGTCGGTCTACTCCGCGACTACAAAGTCCTGTAGTGATTTTTACTATAAAATTCTGTCCGTAAAAAGAAAAAGTTGTGTCGCGCGATTCGTTATTTCGACTAACGGCAGTCGCAGAGCCATCTCGGCATTGTGGTCTCGATCTGAAAATCCCGAAATACCAAAATCTATCGTCGCGTACGAATGAATCGCGGCGTCCGCAGGAAAGAGAGCTCCGAAATTTTCTCTTAATAAATACGGGCTCTGCGAGAGGGTTAGAATCAGCCGGCGATTTACGGCCCAAGCACACTCGCTGCCTTTTACCGCCGTCGTCGTCGCGACAGAAACACGGCGCGCGAATGAAAGGCGCAATCCCGCGGTCGATAATTTCGGCGGTGGAATTCTCGAAGGCCGGACCGTAACGACTTTCATCCGGCGCACTGAATAACTATGCAAATGCCTCTTCGCCCTCTCCACTCGCCTGCTGCTCCCGACTTGCGCGCAGGGGCTTTGAGCAGGCAGATCGTCGATGGGGAGTCCTATAGCCGCGCGCGGCCCGAGTTACGAGGAAACGGGCCCATAAAGCCACACGCACGGCCAAGATTGACCTCTCCGGACGGACGATGACGTCCGTCGTGAACGGCGTAACGAGACCCTCGTCGGTGCTGTGCATCGCGAGACGTGGCGGGACGAGGAGAGGCGACACGGGCGTTCGCGACCTCGCATTTCCTGCGGATATCAAATTGCCATCTGGACCGCGGCGCGGAGTGCGACCGGGATTCGCCCGCGAAGAACTTTTCCACCGGCGTGGCGGAGGAAAGCTCGCCCGCCGCAGCCGCGCTTAAAGCGCCATTTAGTCCCTTTCCCCCTTGCCACCCCCAGAGAGAGGGCGAGCCTCTACACGCCTTTTTATCCTTCGTTAATACTCGCAAAACGTCCGTCGCACTTTTCAAGTTCCGCGAGAGCCTCCGTTTGTCCGCGTATTGCGTACAGAGTGCCTCGAGTTCTTCACTTTCCTCTCCCTCTCTCTCTCTCTCCCTTTTCTTTCCTCTCTCACCGGGTTTTTACTCACCGTTAACACTAACTAAGTAATCTTTCCGTTTGAATTATCGTCTCTGTACCGTATAATACAGGGAAAAAAGACGGGGGGAATTGAATGAGCTCTTGCTGCGGAGCCAAGTTACTAATTAACCGACGTCGGAGTGGAGCTGGCGCGCACGTAATGGATAGCGCGGGAGTGAAATCAAAATCTTGCGAGACATGACGAGAGAGCGATCGGTCAAACCAGCGGTAAGTCCGCATTAGTCGATATATAAAATGTTCAGGAGTCCCGGAGCCAATAGTAGCTCCCGTCTCGCAATTAATCACGGCGCGCCGTAGTGGGGCACACGTATCGAAAATCGTTTCGAGTCGCCGAGCCGAGCTGCGCTATCAAACATTTAAACCGCGACAGCGGGACGACCACGGAGATAATCGCGGGGCCATTTTCCGCGATTGAACGGCGCCGAAAGAGAATCCGCGAATTAACCAAAATCGTCTCAATGATATCCCTGCGATCTGCCGTACCTTCGGTACGCGTCCTCACGCACTCCCGTCCATGCATGCATGACCATATATATATATATATATATATATATATATGTGTGTGTCACCTCCCCGCCCAAACAGGCGCACGCACGCATGCATGCACGCACGCACGCACGCACACCGGCGCACATGCGCCGAAATGGTAGTCTCTCAAGCCCGTATCCATCGCCGTTAAATTAATAACCGTGCTATCCGCGTGTACCGAACTCCTCGAAATATCGCCCGACGCCCTCCGGCTGCCGTCCATCCGCGCGCGTCTCTTACCCTGCATCACACCCCTGCTCCGGTAAACCCGTCATATATCCCGCATATGGCTCGCGTGCACGCGCCAGCCGAATACGTGCGGGTGACGAGCGGAATTCAGAATTCCGAGTGTGCGAGAGGACCACGGCGATGCGTCGCGTCGCACATCGCGGTACAACCCGCCCGCGCAGAGAGCAGAGAGACCAAGGGAGACAGTATATGAGACAGAGAGAGAGAGAGAGAGAGAGAGAGAGAGAGAGAGAGAGAGCGAGAGAGAGTGAGAAACGCGCGCGAGGCTCGGCAAAAAGGGAATCACAATGCCAAAGCGAGCCCGTATCGTCGTCAGACCGGTCGACACGACCGATAACAGTCAATGCGCTAAATGCATCGGAATCGAATCTGGGCGATTCATTTTCGCACCGACCCGACCGACCTGGCATAGCGCGGCTCAGCTCAGCTCGCTCTCTTGCGTGCCTGCGCCGTAATATTTGCCCGAATAAAAAATTCTCTCTTTCTCTCTCTCTCCCCCCTCTCGACTCTCCGCTCAGGAAACGCCCGGAGAGCAGGCTGGCGAAACGAGCAAACGCCGACTGCTACGTCAGCCGCGAGATGATCGTTACTCGCCTTGAGAAACGTGAAGTAGCTCGCGTGTCTCGGTAGAATTAACTTTAAATAGATATTGTGTTTGGAGGCTCATGTAATATTTGCTAATATTCCCCGTCGCGTTTCCAAATCATACGCTCGAATCTTTTTCATTTGGAATCAGCGATTAACGCTTTGGGGATGGAGAGAATGGAAAAGGTGAGCTGAGAGAACAGATATATAACGTCGAGTAATAAGTGATATTGTGTATAATAGGAAAGGGACGTTACAACGACATTTCAATCTGTTAATTGCCGAGAGAGCTACTGCATCGAGCACTGTACCTATTATTGCATCAAGAAATTATAACTTACACCGCTGAAATCTTAATGCAATTAGACGAATGAGAAATCCACGCGAAGGACGATATTTAAGGTCGGCGGATTAATAATCCTAAAAGGGAATCTCATCGGGATTTCAGAAAGGATATTTATATTTTTGCTGGATAGCTTCGCCATTTCGCAGCCCATCAGCAGAGACCTATCGAACAGCCGAGTTGATTATCGAGAGATGGCTCCATTTCGTATTATTTATTTCAGGGCTTCGTCAATCTCCATGCATTAATTATTTCGAGAATTGTCACCTGTCGCCGCGCGAATGCCGGCGCGGTATAGAGATATTTCCGTGCGTCAGCACTGTGACGCTTATGTCGGTCCCAGTGTGTCGATGGGGCCAGGCGGTTTTAATTTCGATCGCGTAACACAACAGCGACCTACATGCGCCGCGGCATAATTCCACGTGTCGTAAAAGTCCGAATGGCTCGCGAATCGATCCCTCGTTATCCTCGACGGAGTAATTTCGCCCTGGCTCGCACACAACGCGGACTTCCACTATAATTAAATCTCCGCGTGTCCTCTGATTGCTTCATTAGCGCATTACTTGTTATTCGTCACGCCAACGCGCAACAACGCGCTCGCATCTCGCAAAAGAGACGAACGGAAACCGACGATGGAAATTGGCGCGGCACGAGAGAGGTCGCGCATCTCTCTTCGCCGCATCGTCGATCCGGCATCGAGGTACAATTAGAGAGTACAAAATCGAACGGTATGATTAAAGAATCCGTGGCTTGTCGGTCCATTAGCTCAAATACACAAGCTCTACCGCGACGATCCAAATATTCCGCACACGGAATGGAAAACAAATTTAAAAAATGTGATGTCATTTCAGTTGCATCACATTATATGAAAATTTAATAAGCTGATATTAAAAATATCTAGTGATATATAAAAAATGAGTTGTTACATTCCCAAGCAGAAAGACACATATATGTGAGTGTGTTTCTCTTTCCTACTAAAATAACAACGATGACGTTTGGACATTTTCCCAAATTGGAGCAAAGCGTTTGTTTCGAGTCGTAATGTAAAGTGTACGACAATAAGTTACTTACCGTATGAGGCGACCAATGGTGAGGCCAGGTCTTCGTCTCGTGACTGCCGCCGACTGACGGTTGACTTGCTAAAAAGACGACCCGTCTGTCGGTGCTTCCGGTTCCGGTGCCGCTCGTGGTCAAAAGGGCCGCCCTGGCCCTCGATCCGCCGATGCTTAACGTTGGTGACGTGTCCATTACGCCTTGAAAGCCAGACACATCACAAGGTAGTAGTATAACTACGATACGAACGTTTGTGGGATCGAGTCGGAGCTCGTAACGAAGCTTGTATAATTCTTTTTTTTTCCATAATAATAGTAACTCAAACTACCCGGCATTGCCGGCATTATCACAAAGTGTCAAGGGGATGAAATCAGGGGGAGGGGATGGAGTGTCGAAGTTTGTAGCCTGGGATCCTTCCGCAAGGTCCTGGGGAGCAACTATGCAAAATTTGGTCCAGATCGGTCAAAGGAGCGTACAGGGAATAGACACACAGACGGGCATTGAATTTGATATACATTCGAAATAATTCCGCACCTGAGAACATTTTTTTATCATTATCATTCCAAGTGGATCGCGATACATCTACTTTGCGCGAGTAATACATTCATCCCCGAGAAAGGAAAAAGAAGGAGCAATGTTTTCTGCATATTTAATAGAAGATTTATTTACAGAATTTATTCGCTGAAGTGCAGCGATTTCGATTAAAATGCGCTGCGGCTCGCGCAAGGAATACGGATTTTCTTTATTTCGCTGAGCGGATTTCGACTAGTCGCGCAAGATAGCGACTTTCAGCGAAATTCAATGAGGGTAATGAAGCCCGTTAGCCGGCGGATGAATGCAACCGAGGGCCGCTGAAAACGTGGCTTTCGTGTCGAATGTACTTCTCAAGGAAAATTCTTATTAATCCAGGCTTTTCGCGCGGCGCTTCGGTATTCATCGGCTGTAAGCAAGGACTTAGAAGCTAATATTACGTCTCCGACAGTGCTATTTTAATGACATTGTGCTTACGGAGCCAATATATATGTCGTCGAGATACCTCCGCTCGCGACGTTGTTCTTTTAGCTCGCGAGACGTGACCTTCGACATTACGGTCAAAGTATCGCGTCAAATCAAGTCCACTTTACATTTAATTCGTGTAAACGACAGAGAGTAATGAGCAAAAAGAATGTCGACGAGCACGGGAGTGGAAATTACATCCCATTACTTAATTTGAGCGCGCGAAATCCTCTCCCTGAGTTAACATTTTCCAGCAACGTTTGTACCGTACCGCTCTCTCTCTCTCTGGTTTCTTAAAAATTTCATTACTCTCTCTTGCACTAACTACCGACTCTACTCTTCTTTCTCCTGCTGCTCCTTTTCCTCCTCTTCCTTCTCCTCCGCCTCGCTCTTTTTCTTTTTTTTTCTTATTTTCGCTACGCTTGCGCGACGTGGCTACGAATCGTAAGGGAGAATCGACGGCGGCGTACAATACGACGATCCAACAACTCGGTTTCCATCGCGATGAAATCCGATGAGCGTAATCGAGCTCGTTAGGCCGTTGGAGATGAAAACTCCGCGAGCCACTCGTACGTCGGCCAAAGCCCGCGGGGGATGGAGAGCGAACGCCCGAGTACCGGGACGAAAAAGGAACGCGAAGAAGCGCGCAGGTAGTACGTTTTTCAGCGGGATTTACGGATCGTCGGCGGGCATTAAGGGGAATGATGCGCGACCGCATCCCGCGCGAACACGCGACACAGGGAAGAATGGCGGGAGCGGAGCGACGATCGAAAGCGGCATAATTTCGGTTGAGTTGAATTCTCGATACCGGAAATATGGATGAATATACCTTACATCGACTGCGCTCGGGCTTTCATCGTCGCGGATGAACAGAGGAATCGTTTCTCGCCTGTACATGATCCAAATTTAAACTCCGCGGGGAATTGCACAGTCGAACGGACTAATTGTGATATTGGCGCGAACCTGACGGCCCGACGTGTATACAATTTCTGATGATATTAGCGATAGTTACGATTCCTTTGCAGTTTTTTTCATATCTACGAAATTCGGGGATATTAAACGTTTAATAATCAAATAGTTAATCTCTATACATATATGTGTATATATAAAATAAGATGTCCGTCCGTGTTTCCCTATAAACTCATAAACCTCTTGACCTCTCTCAACTAAAATTTGCATAGTTACTTCCTAGAATTTTGCGGAAAGTATAGGCTACATGAAACCTGAACATCCCGCCTCTTCCCTCGAATTTCATCTTACTTTGTGATCACTCAGACGAGTGGTTTTAGCTAGTAAACTCTAAATATTGACCTCACGTACACACAACTGTTTGAGCGTGTCGCGTTTGGTAACCGCTCTCAAACGCTGAAGCCGATGGAACGCGCGCGGCGGAGAAAGAAACGGGACAAAAGCAGTAATCTCGAGAACGGGGGAAGGAGCGGGACGGCAGTGGAGTAATAATCATGAGATCGAGCCTTACCTTCCAATTGAATCTTCCCACGATCGAGTACGCCGTGAACGATCTGCGCCGGGACGTGCTAACGGCCGGCCGTTAGATCGCCGAAAGGGACCAGAGTCGCTCGCGTCGCGATCGACCACTCTCGTATTCAGATTTCAGCCGGTGGTCGTCCACCCTCGTCTCGCGCGGGGTCCTCCACCTCAACCAGGTAATCCCCGTAGTCGCGTGCACCTAATCATTATAGCGGCGGGTGCGGGTGGCGCTAGGTGTCCCTTAAATCGTTCCAGCACGACGTCGGCTCCTCCTCCGCGCAATTACGAGTCATTACGAACGGGATTCCACCGTGGCGAACACACACGCGCACCGCCGGCTCGTACACACCAGCGGCTTCGCCAGGTGCTACACGCCAAAGTGCGTGGCGTTATTTACGGTCGATCGAGAGGGGGCGAGTTGGACAGCCGGTCGAAGCTCTAAATCTTACGGGATAACAATGACGAGGTGACAACGACGGCGAGGACGAGGGGGAAAGACAACTCGAGTGGCAAGAAGAGCTCGAGATCCGTCGGATTCGCGACGATTCTTAAAACCCACGCGTTAAAAGCTGTCCGCTAGCGTGACGCGTTGAAGAGAGCGTTGTCAGTGAGCGGAACGGCGTTCTCACCTGACAGCCGCGCGAAATCCCGCCACCTGGTGATTTACTATCGCGTGGCTCGATCGCGGCGAGCTCCAATTTCGCGGCGGGATGACTGACAAGCCTCCCCCGTGTGCCTACTACACGGCTACCGTTTCTCGACCTGTCGGAAGACCGATCCTCTCCCGACTACCAAACGGTTTCAATTACACCCGCGCCATTTTAATATCGCCGATTATCCGCGCGCGCGCGCGCGCGAACTACTACCGAGTGGTGTCCGGCACCGCTACAACGTGTACCTCCTAACTGTATGCCGATCGCGCGTCCAGCTTTCCATGATCAGACGCTTAGGCGATCCTCGTGATCCCCGACGACTCGATTCTCCGGTCGATCGTCGAGCCGCGGTCTCGCGTCGCGACACCAACCGAAGCGGTCGACCATGGCCGATCGAGGGCGTCCAAACGATCTGCAAGTACGATCGGCAAGAGCGTGGCCGCGAGCTCCGGCACAGTCGTCGCCCCGCCAAGCGCCGCGTACGGAATCGCGCACGACACTGAAGCGGCAGGAAGTCTCGCGCTCGAGGCGAACCTCTCTCGCGGATTCGCGGGCTCACGTGTGAAATTCTTGCGCATGCACCGACGCCTTCCATCCCTCCCCCATCCCTCCTGGCTTCGCCCCCGTTGGTGTTTCCCTACGTCTCGCTCTATCCCTCGGAGATCCACTTTGTCGGGTTCTCTCGCACTCTGTGTCCTCTCTGCCCCCCCCCCTCTCTCCCTCTCTCTCTCTCCCTCTCTCTCTTCCCTTCGTCCTTTCACCCCCGCGTCTCTCGTTTCCACCGCTGCTCCAACTGTCGCTTTTCCCTCTTCGTCTTCAGTAGTCGTCCTGCCCGCGTCTCGTGCCGCCTCTTCTTCCTCCGCTTCTTTCCCTTCTTCCGGATGGCTCCTGAATCATGAAGCGACAAGTGTTTGGCGCCGGTGCCGCGCTTGTACGGGAGTTAAAGAAGTATTTCATGAAGTAAGCGCGAGAGTATCTCGTCTCGCAGCTGCGGAAACGGGTAGTATCCTTAATTGGTCCCACTCCGGAGTTCGGCGGCCGATCGATATCGCGTTCGTAGTCTAGCTCACGAAAAAATAACGTTCCTCCGTCGGGAACTTGATTCGTTGTCTTTAATCGCGTCGCTGAACACGCGTTAATCATGCATAGGGCTTGGAATTATGCCGGCATGATAGAGCGCGCCTCGCTTTACCCAGTTTCTCCTTCTGCGCGGAAATTTTTCGCGAACCGAAAGAGCGATGCGCCGCATTATATAAAATGCAGACGAGAAATGTAAAACGATATATAAGTGCCAGAGACATTTTCCTCATACTCTTTCATACTCCTCATACTTCTCACATTTGCTTTGCAACACGTGAATAAATTTTATTGTACTTATTCCTTTCCCGCGCCTTTGTTTCGTAGAGAGACAAAGAGGCAAACTGCAAGCTCGAGGGAACACGGCCATGTGTTGACGCTGAGGATTTCGAGAGAAACCAACTCGAATTGCCGACAACCAATAGCTGGTTAAGAAAAATGGAGGATGGTCTTTAAACGTTTTGACGTGAAGCTGTTTGCGCGTAACTCTTCATGAAACAATTCCACGAATCTAACTGACAAGCATTGTGTTTCCGACCCAGTTAATAGTTATTTTAATGCGACTTGAAATCACGCGCGGACTTGCGGACGAGGGCCCGTTGAAATTCATATGCGATCGGATCGCGCTAAATTATGCACGCGCGTTGATGCAGTTCGCGTAAGCTCAGCCTGTTCGCTGTCTGACATCATGTGTATAGAGGATTCTGTAAATTGTAACTCGCAGGAGGAAAATCCAAAGGAGTACGTTCGCACGCATTGTTGTTTTTGTTACGAAATCCCTCAGTATTGTACAAATCACTTAAAATTTTATCACGACCGCTTGGTCGCACAAAATTTCAAAATTAACCCATTAACGCCTAATGTGCTGAAATTTTACGTTGATTTGAGTCATTTATTTTACTATGGAAATGAGATCTGTTGTTTATAAAGAGTACCATTTCTACCAACTTCGATTCTTTATCGAATAACGTTGCTTCATCGAATAATGTTGAGAAAATTAAAAAGAGATCGCAATTTATGCAAAATTTTTGCAAAATAAAATAAAAGACGCATATTTTTAAGGATAATTTTTTCTTCTTCCGCTATTTTCTCCATAAAAACATGTTAGTATCGCTCGGAAAAGTGTCTAAAACATGTTTCCGACACTTTAACACAACAAATATGCTATGGGTATTTTTTTCGACAAACATGGTGGTACCAAAATGACGATCGATTTGAAGCGTTTAATTCGAATTTTCGTTTATATTTGGTTATCGTAATTGTTTTAGGGTCAATATTACTATAAAATTACATAGTAATTTACGTAATAATTACATAGTAAAACAATTTCGATAACCAAATATAAACGAAAATTCGAATTAAACGCTTTAAATCGACCGCCATGTTGAAAAAAAAACCATGACATATTTTTTAAGTTAAAGTTTCGAGAACACGTTTTAGACACTTTCCCGAGCGACATTAACATGTTGTTATGGAGAAAATAGAAGAAGAAAAAATTATCCCTAAAAACATGCGTTTTTTATATTACTTTTGCAAAAATTTTGCATAAATTGTGATTTTTTTTTTAATTGTCTCATTGCTATTCGATAGAACGACATCGAAATTGGTAGGAATGGTACTCTTTATAAACAACAGACCTCATTTCCGTAGTAAAATAAATGGCTCAAATCAACGTAAAATTTCAGCACATTTGGGCGTTAATGGGTTAATGGGTTAAGGCCCGATTACACCAACTAAGTAGTAAGTTAACAATTAAAACATATGTCTGTCTCTGTTTATTTGTAGGCGGAAAACATTGAAAGAAAAAAATAGCTAATTTAAATAAAATTATAGTTATTTATGACTCTGAATATATTTTTTAAAATAAAATAATAGCAATAACATGCATATAAAGTTATCACTAACACATAACAGTATGTAAAAAGTGTGACAACTAGACTCGGTCTCCCCTAATTATTTCTCTGTATAATTATAGTTATAAATATCAAACATTTTTTCTCAGTACAAAGGCAAGCATATAATTTAACTGTTAGCTCACTACTCGATTAATGCAACTGATCCTAAAATCTTATATTTAATTAAAGAAAAGTTTAGCAGTTTCGGCAGATCGCTAATCAAAATGGTTTGTCGCGCCGGTGATCACACATCAATAATGGTTTAACACACACACATGCATTGTCTAAAATTCCTGAAAATAATTTTCTTGGTACTGAGCGGAAAGTGTAAGTGGAGAATTGAATTGTAAATGACTCTCTGCCTTGACAAATGAACGATCCTAATTGCCGATACGACTGTCTTGCACACAGTATATTCCGAGATGCATTACAATAAGATTAATTGCGCTCTCCATGACGTAACTTTGGGGAACTGAATCAGTATGCATGAAAAAGGATGATGATGACGATCGAAATGCATAGATTTTATATTTCCCATGAAAGTAACTTCCATTGTCCCTCAGGCTTTATCAAATAAATGATATAGAGACGATTTCCCGTTTCGTCGAGTGCAAAATCGATCCGGGAGTTAAAGATAAACGAGCAAAATAATAATTAAATCATCATCACACCAGTCTCACGTTAAGACTAATTGACAGTTTATTCAAGTTTCACAATTTTATCGGTGTTATACTCAACCGTTAACCGGATCCTTACGGCGCCGCCTAGTGTTATGTCCTTTTTACACTCCCAGCTTTTCAATTACAGTTCGTCAATTACGAGTTTGCGAGTTACCGATGAGTTACACGATCGCTCGTCAGCGCCCACAAACACACAGACGCGCGCAGGCACATATACACGCACATGCACCGCCAACCGATTAACTGCAAAACGCAAACGGCGCGCGATTAATCGCGATCCGATGGCGACGTCAAAGCGACGAAACGAGTAGATCGCAGCGAAACGCTTCTACCGTTCGCCGCAATCGAGACAATGCAGCTTTGCAGCACGGGGATTGGAATTGCAAAATGTAGGATCGACAGGGCTATATACACTTCTTCCCCCGCCCCCTCCCCCTCCGCGTCCCTTTGCCCCTTCTTTGTCAACTTGCACAGGCTCGTCCTTCTGTCTGCGTTGCACCTCGACTTCTGTACTCATCCTCTCCTTCCTCCCGTTCGATCTCACCATCTCCCCCTCCCTCTTCCATCCCTCTCATTGAACCCGCACTCTTCTATATCGGTTCTTTATCTCTCGTAAAGAAAGGGAAAAGTGGAAGAAGAGCAGAAATGGGTAGAGCACGACGATTCCTCGGGCGGACTGACTGACTTTCTTTCCAGGATTTGTGGTATCTGCATCTGCCCGAGGAAGAGGATGGAAGAAATGGCAGGATACGAAAAGGGGTAGATCCGAGAAGACAGACGTACCGCACCGGAGAACGGAAGTGTTTTGTGTCGATCGCCGGATGTCTCTCCGTCGTTTGAGAATGACTTCAACGATTTCGCGTTTACGCGCCGCGAAGAATTTTCGCGATTTCGATTGCCGTTTCGGGGTTACATCGTGCCGCGCGCCACGTTAATCGCATTTTCTGAGCTCACACATTTTCAGTTTATATGTGGAACTCTACTTATATTTCTGGCAATTTTAAACCAAATAAATGCACAGTGCAACCTATTTTCTGTCTGAATTTATGTTAATTTTAACATGTTTGCGCCACTACGGTTTATTTACCAGGTTTATTCTTGCCACAGATCATGTTGTATTTTCTTCTCTTTTTACGTAATTATATAAAACAGACAGTTTAATAATGTGCACATGAAAAAGAATATTTTTATCGCCACACATATATGACACCCTAGAACACGTTAAATTGCATATACTTGATTTCGCAGCACATTTGTACAAAAGACGCTGCTCACTAATGGTGTCTGATTCCTTAACATTTATTTTATTTTATAGGCAGAAGTAAGGGGGAGAAGGGCGATCTGTAGGAGCCATCCAAAGCATTCAGACTAAAATGTCACCTCCTATATTATCCTGATTGTTACAATCTGATACTAGATCTGATATTAGATCTTCTATTAGAGAGTTCCTCTAGGAATTCAGAATTAGGACAAAACATGTTAATTCTTGATTGATCGGCATGCTGTTTGCCATTTTTAGGGGTGACGTAAATGGGAACTAAAGAGAAACTCTAGTAGGAGTAAGAGAAAAGCTCTAAAATTGAAACTAAAGCACACTGTCTTCTGTCTCACTCACTCATTTCCTCCCCATAAATAGCGGACAATGTCCTAACTTTAGTTCTATTCCTATTGATATAATGAATAAATATGTTGAAAAATATCTAAGAGCTGCTCTCTCTCTCTCTCTCTCTCTCTCTCTCTCTCTCTCTCTCTCTCTCTCTCTCT